TTTCTGGGCCATGTGTGATAACGTCCTATGTGTGTTTGCATGTGCCTTCAAGTTGCCTCTTGTCTTATGGTGAGCCCATGAATTTCATAGGGCTTTCTTAGGCAAAGAATCCCCTGACAAACTGGGAAAGTTGGAGAATATGAGTGTTGCCCATGCTTTTAAAAAATCAGAGAAGAGTGAAAATGAAAAGATAATTGTCTTCTGGAACATCTGGTTCATGTACTAGTTTGGAAAGTGAGAATTGGGATGGTTTTTATTAAAATGCCAACTAAATGAAATCCTGCCCTTCAGAAAAGAAGCAAAGGTGACCTCCACCCCAACCAGTACATGCTTATCATCTTGCATGACTTCTTACCCCACATTCTTAAATGGTGGTAGCAGGTTTCCTGAGCAAACCTATTGCTATTATGAAAAGTAGCACTTAAAGAAAGCCTGAGGCATGGCAGAAGCCAAGCAATGGAGGAAAAGGAGAGAAAGAAGCTTAGATTCAGGGAGGGGATACCATTTGTGCATGAGTGAGAGAGTGAGGGAGTACGTCTGAAGAGAAGCAATTTATCAAGGGAGTAATCCCAGAAATATTGCTAGCAGGCTGTGTGCAAATGCCACCACTGGGACTGATAAGAGGAAAGAAATGTCAGGGAGAAAAACAGGAGACTCAGAATTGCCTTATTGCTATGGAGATGGACTGCCCCTGAAAAGTAGGAGTTTAAATCTGGACTGAAAAAGTGACATCTGTAAATAGTGAAGGGACAGAGTAAGAGAGATGGCCCAAATCAAGGGGGGAAAGTCAGGGGGATGATTGCTAACTTGCATTCATTGAAGCTTGGGTTTTAAAACTCACTTTACAATTGGCCCTCCAGATTTGCAAGCTTTGACTTTTGTGGTTTTGATTATATCCGTTCTCTCTAGGAATCTCTAGGTCCTCCAGCACAACTCTGCCAGACTTTTATCATAGAGTTGTGCTGGAGAACCCCAAAGTTCATAGAAAAAATACTTCTCTGAGCATTTGTAAGTACTCCAGCATGATTCTACGATCAACGTAGAAGATGTTGACCACAGAGTTGCACCAGAGCACCTAGAGATTCTCTTGAGTAAAAAGAATAGTGTGGTGTGTTTTTTTAATGGCAAGCAGGATGTTTTTTCCACATTCACTGGGGTCCTTCACTCCTAACCCATGTGAATAAAAAACACCACTGTAGTCAGGTGAATACTTGCCTACAGAGATGATAATGGCAAGCAGGATGTAGTGGAAGAGAGATGTTATTTCTTCCAGTTGTTCATGTTGAACCCTGTCAGAAAAGCCACTGAAACACCTCAGCCAGTATTTGAGTAAGGCACCTCTGATAGACAGCAGTTAATAATGAATAATAATAATAAATTTTATTTATATCCCGCCTCTCTGCATAGCAATCGAAGCGAAGTTAAATGATGATGGTGATGGTGATGGTGATGTGTGCCTTCAAAACTTCTCCAATTTACAATCACCCTGTCATAAAGGCTTCTTGAAAAATTATTCAGAGGATATTTGCCATTGCCTTCTTCTAAAGCCTGAAAGAATATGCCTTGCCCAAAGTCACCCAGCAGGTTTCCATGACTGAGTGGGAATCTGAACCGTGGTCTCCAAGATTTCTAGTTCAATACTTAACCATTAGACTGCACTGGCTCTCCATAGTTAAACTACAAGCAGTTAAAAACTATTAGTCATTGTTAAGTAACTACCCTTCAGTTATTTTATGTTGTTGAATGATAATTACAACCATTCCATGCGAAGTTTTTCAAATTATATTGTCAAGCTCCTTTTGTTGGAAATTCACTATACAACTATCGAGAACAAGTTGGATCCATTGGAGGCTTCTCATTGGGGGAAAAAGGGAGGTTGTTTCATCTGTTGAGAAAAAAGTGTTTAATTAACCCGTTATTTTAAAATCATACTCAAAAAACTAGGAATATAGCACGCCTACAACAACCAGCCAAGATTATAGTTTGTCGTTGTTATGTGCCTCCAAGTTATTTCCAACTTATGGTGACCCTAAACCAAACATATCACAGGGTTTTCTTGGCAAGTTTCTTCAGAAGTGGTTTGCCATTGGAATCCCTTGAGGCTGAGAGAGCATGACTTGCCCAAGGTCACCCAGTGCATTTACATAGCCAAGCTAGGATTCGAACCCTGGTCTCCAGAGTCATAGTCCAACACTCAAACCACTACACCATGCTGGCTCCATAAGATTATAGTACCTACCTATTATTCTAACAACTAACTGGTAGGAACCCATTTATAGCAGAGCATTTCTATGAGTAACTGTAGGAAATGTCCAGAAAGTTTAGCCTGTGTGAGGAAGAGAGCAGCTGCATCCGTGGGGCAAGTGGGCCTGTGTGCCAATTGGAACTATTTGGAGGCATGTGCTGGGATAAAAGAATTACAGTAGAGTCCTGCCCATGTCTGCTCCGAAATAAGGCTCACTGAATTCAGTGGCATTTACTCTCAGGGAAGTATGCATAGAACTTCAGCCTAAATCAGAGGAAAGCTGGCAAATTACAGTCAGCCCTCCATATCCACAGATTATTTTTTTTTATCCACCAATTCAAGCATCCATGGCTTGAAAATATTTTAAAAATATGTAAATTCTAAAAAGCAAACTTTGATTTTGCCTTTTTATATAAGGGACCTCGTTTTATTATGTCATTGTATTTAATGGGACCTAAGCATCCATGGATTTTGGTATCCACGGGGGTGGGGGAGTCCTGGAATCAAACCCTAGCAGATACCAAGGGCCCACTATACTAGGTATTTAAAGGACTGTATTCTTCTCATGTTTTGATAACTTCTGAAGATCTCCTTCTCTCCCCCCCCC